GGTTATTATAATAGATCCATGGTTACAACATCGTTCAGCTTCAGCGTGAGGCACTTGGCGACTTGGCCCTCAACAATGCGATTACGCCCTCTAAGGGTGAACGCCGGTATAACTTTCTACAGAAAATCTATTCTAGACAGTATATCACAGGGGGGAGGACAAGGAAAAAGTAAGACGGGGCAGTGTGGCACATAACCATATGTTAACTGTCGATGAAAAGGGCACATGATAAATGAAAAAGTGGAGCATTCTTAATGAGAGTAAGTGAAATATAACGTAGTGTAAACTCATTCCTCCAATGAGTATAGTTGGGAAGATTCACACACTGCAAATAATGTTTGACCAACAATATAAGATTATTGATACCAAAGTAATTTAAACAATTATTGAAAGTGGATAAAAGATGGTGAAAAAACTCCTCTTATTTCTTTACTTTGGGAAAAAACCCAGCAGAGAACAGCATCTCAAGCCTGATCACTAACAGAATTGAATGTAAAGAGTCTTCTCACACAATTCTCTGAAGAAATAGAAAAGAGGCAACTCGATATCTAAGGCATATGACTTTACAAGATTATCAGAAATTATAAACAAAATGCAATCAGGTTTTCTAAAAGTTAGAGTCATTCACATTAATATCAGACTTGTGCTGGAAAAAATTCATTCTTGTGAATCTCTTGATTAAAATAGCGTCTTACTTTTCCTGATGAAAATAGATGTTTACGTTTCTTTTTCAGTGGTATAGCTGGAATTGATGTAATGAGCAGATGATAAGTCATCAGCTGATGATAAAACTCAAATTCTGTTAGCTTTAGAAACTATAAATGTCTTCTCAAATGCGAGATTTTATTAGATGATCACCATTCACAACAATCATACAACACAAATCTGAAAATAGAAGCTAAGTAATTAGTGGACAGTCTCTAAAGGTTGATTTATTGTGGGTGTTAATTATCCATATCCCTAAAAAATATATTTTCTTTTGAGGTCAATATATTGCTTACAATATTTCATTCAATCAGTATGAGGGGAGATGCAATCTACTGTGATATAATGGATGGTATTGAGGCCCATGGTCCTGTGTCCTGACGAGTTGGTGGATAAAAACTTCTCGTCTGATGCAAAACTTGCCACATTCGTTATTAACAGTTAAAAACCCTGCCTGGAGTCAAATAAGTGGAGTATGTCATAGTGGTCTAGTGATTAAGATGCAGCGCTTCCACTGCGACAACCCGGGTTTGAATCCGAGTGAGATCTATGTTTAGGATTAATCTATAGATATTATATTCTATGACAGATTGCTCAAGAACGGTAAAAGGTAAAAAAAAAAAAGTTGTTTTTTGCAGATTAAAGCTAAGAGCCTATTCTTTCATTATGAAAGATTAGATTTTGCAGGATTACAAAATCTGGTTATGTGGTCGGTATTGGGGCCCCCAAGGACTCTGTTGCCTGGGGCCCCGGGGTACCCTTGAAACGCCACTGATTCTTATACAAATTACTTACATTTTCATCCCAGTAAATTAGGCCTATTGAGGAGTATGATATATTGTAATTTTAGAGTAATACTGTAATTGTTGCATTTTAGAGAATACCTGGGGAGCTAGAACAGATTGCATATGTGTCATGGATCTATAATAATAGATCCCTGAGCATATGTAGAGAATGCTGGCGCACTCTTACCACTAGGTGGCAGTAGCCTGCTGAACTTTGTGAGGTAAAAACATCGAGGGATCCTTGACTGACAAAATGGCAGCGGAATGGAGCTAGCCCATGGATCGAGCTAGCCGTCTGGCTAATGTAAACACAACCCAAACGGGACTGGGACAACCAACAAGAATTTCCTATTCCTTCTCGAAACAGCGATCAGAAAAGTGCGTACTAATCTAATCCAGAATCATGGGATTACGATTGTCGTCGTCCTAATCCACCTTTTAGGTCATGTAACGCAGCTAGCCAAGTTACCCGAGGAATCAGCTAAGATTACAGCTCTTCAGAACTAATGCAGACGTGTGTGTAAATCATATGACATATATATCATATATCATAGCAGCTAATGCAGACATGTGTGTGGGTGTGGATGTGATAAATGACCAACAAACGAATATTGGGAGTTTTTCTAAACTGTCTAAATGTCCTTGATCACTCAGGTCTTCAACACTTCTAGTAATCCTTTCCTTCTCTTTGCGAAACGCCCTCTGAATAGTATGTGTGTTGTTGTTGATTGTTGTTTGTTTTAGCAACAGTATCGTAAGTAAAAGTTATTGTCAGAGAATGTCCCACCGTCTTGACTCCTGAGAGTCTACAATTATGATGTTTAGGCGTTTGGACAACTAAACATCACTCTCTCTGTGCTTTACATTTATTTCCATGTTCTCACATCTGTTCTTCAGATAACCCAGAGATCAGAACGTTTGGATACAGACTTTTTAAAATATTATTTTTGACTCAAATTAAATTGGTCCATAAAAAGACTGAAAATTCGCATACATGGTGTTTGTTTTCTTGTTTTAGTGAGTATAACGAACCAGCGACCTGAACGTCGCGGGATCCATTTGGATCAGTCAGAGCTGCTCTGCAAAAAAGGATGTGGTTTTTACGGAAACACCGGCTGGCAGGGCCTCTGCTCGAAGTGCTGGAGAGAGGAGAACCAACGAGAACGACAAAAACAAATTCAAGAAGACTGGGCTCTTGCTGAAAGGTAGACAAGCCTTAACATAGTAAATATAGCACTGTAAAACTGTACTGTTTGATTAGAGTTAACAGCAGTGAGTCAGTCACACAAAAATAACACTGCGAATGTAAATATTGTGTGTGTTTTTATGAAAAATTTATAATGTTTCTTACTATTAGTTCTTTGTTTTGCTACAAACCTCATAATATTATACAATACATGATTTTATATGATGCCTGTAACCTGGATATTATAACTTGTTTTAGTGCAAACATTTTTTATAAATTCCACACAATATATATTAGTGTATCATAGCTCAATGGATTCAACCTTAACAAAAAATGGTTAAGATATATATATATATATATATATATATATCATAATACTAAAATTACAAGTGCAGTCTTGGTATCATGTGGTGTAAATATGTCCTACAGGTCGATGTAAATCACATGACTACAGTAATCCATTTATGTGGAGAAAAGACGGCATGCTAATTGATTTGTAGTTTGTATTCTTACTGATGAGGTTTCTCTTTACAGACTGCAGCGAGAAGAAGAAGCTGCTTATGCGAGTAGACATCAGAAGCCGCCACAATCCCAACCAGCAATAACACCCTTCAGCAAGTTTGAAGAAAGAAAGACAAAAGAAAAATCCAGCAAAGTCAACACTGTTACTAAGTTTTTCACTCCGTCAACAAAAACACCACCAAAAAAAGGTATAGTGCACTATACAGTATTTTCAAATGTTCGCAGAGCTGTGGAGCAACCTTTTGTGTACATTTTAGGTATATTTAATTCACTATTGGTCAATAGTCAATTCAATTTTATTTATAACGCACTATAAAAACAATAATACAGTTGATTAAAGTGTTGTGCATGTTTACAATTGTCAATACAATGAAATACAAATAGACAATGATATAAAGAACAATAGATAAGATCAACTCATTCTCAATTCATAAGCCTGAGAGATAATATATGTTTTGAGGTGAGTCTTAAAAACCGTCCAAATACCTGTCTGTGGTAAATCATTCCACACTTGAGGCCACATCGCCGGTACGACACACTGATCTTTTCTTTAACTCTTAGCTAGATAAATAAGTTGATGTACTCTATTGTTTGAGCACATTAAGCTTTATTTGCTCAATCATTAAATAGTATAGTATTTTTGGTCTATATACAGCGAGAGTAGGTCTACAGTTTTCAAAATACTTTCTCGTTCAAGACTGCTTCTGACACATCTGTTATGTGTAGAGTGAAGCCGTCATGCCCACACTGTCGCAAGCAGAGAATGTGTCTGACCTTGACTAGAAACTGATTTTTCTTTATTCAATGTTATTCTTTTCACACTAACTAACGGCTTACATGTTTACAGATAATGCTTTTGACTCTCAGTCCACTCCAAGTCCGAGCTCTTCATCGAGCCGTCATTCTTCTGCTGACACGGACCATGCAACACGAGAGTTCATAGACTTTCTTAAACCACTGAAGTCGGGTCGGGAGATCTTTAAGCAATGCCGGGCCTTTACTGAAGGCATTGTGTACAAACGAGTAAGTACTGGTTATTATACATTTTAATTATATACAGCGGTCCCTTGTTTATCGCTGGGGTTATGTAAAAAAAATCTGTGATAAGCAAAATCCATGAAGTGGCAGCAATATGTCTTAATTAAGGCTGTGACACCACACACCATATTCACTTTTCTAACCACCTGAACTCATGACTGCTGAAGTGCGATCGCGAAGATATCAAACCTGTTTGTTGTGGGTCGAACGCCGTCTGAGGCAGCCGAGGACACCGTGCTGAGGGGCAGGATCAGCACGGAGGTTTAGGGTTAGGAAGACCATGCTATTTTTTTATCATTGTGACGGGTCCCAACCCAAGGTTGGCAGAAGGGCTAATTATAGGTAATTGTCATGTTATTCTAACTAGCGGTTCTATTTGTCGTTATGTCTTATGTTGTTGGAGTATACACGGGCGGCACGGTGGCTGAGTGGATAGCACTCTCGCCTCTCAGCAAGAAGGTCCTGAGTTCGAATCCCGGTTGGACCAGGGCCTTTCTGAGTGGAGTTTGCATGTTCTCCCCGTGTCTGCGTAGGTTTCCTCCGGGTGCTCCGGTTTCCTCCGGGTGCTCCGGTTGCTCCGGTTTCCCCTACCACTAAAAATATTTACAATAGGTCTGGCATGTGCCTCCTGTACTGGCACCCCCACTCCCAAAAAATAACAATTGTAAACCGCTTTGAGACTCCGATGTGCAGTGAAAAGGCGGTATATAAATAAAGATTACTTACTTACTTACTACTTACACGCGGCACACAAGAAGTATTCTGTTAGAAAATACACAAAATTGGCCGCAAAAAAAATCTGTGAAACAGCGAGGACACAAATGGTAACCGACTGAGGTGCGTTATAGCGAGGGACTACTGTAAGCAATATTGTTTATGGACTTTTGATGTTAGAACATTGACCAAATCTGAATTTTACAGGAGATGGGTGCTGATGAACTGTCAGAGTGTGTTCAGGACTTTTACCAAAACTTGTCTGATCGCTTGCACACACAATTTAAAGGTATTTCCTCACTGTCTCGTTGCACAGATGGTAGAAGATTGGTGAGTACTATCATTGTGTCTTTCACCAGGTTCCACTGAACAGGTTGAGACTGTTATGGATGCAGTTGAAAAATATATGATGACTCGTCTGTACAAAGAAGTATTTTGTCCTGAGACCACGGACGATGAAAAAAAGGATTTGGCAATTCAGAAAAGAATTAGGTCAGCACAAAAACACATGTCTTATGAATAGCGGGTGTTTGCTTCAGTCTCTTCCAGTGCATTTGACGTCAGCTGTTGTTCGTTCCAGGGCCTTGCATTGGGTCACTATTGAGATGTTGTGTGTTCCTGTCGATGAGGAGATTCCTGAGGCTTCAGACAGTGTGGTCAAAGCGATCACAGGTGAAGTGAGGCACGCTTATAACCTGCCCATTAAAACACGCTTTAATTGACATGTTTTCTACTTCGGCAGATGTCATTGAGATGGATTCCAAGCGTGTTCCCAAAGAGAAACTCGGTTGTATAACTCGCTGCAGCAAGCACATCTTTAACGCGATTAAAATCAGTAAAAACGAAGCGGCATCAGCAGACGACTTTCTTCCCACGCTCATCTATATAGTTCTCAAGGCAAACCCACCACGACTGCAGTCCAATATCCAATACATCACTCGCTTCTGCAACCCCAGCAGGCTCATGACTGGAGAGGATGGATATTACTTCACCAACCTGGTAATGAAAATTAAATAGTGAAAATCAATGTCTTGGATACTGTATTAGTTTTGACTTCATCTTTTCTCAGTGCTGTGCTGTGGCGTTCATTGAAAAGCTGGATGGGCAGTCCCTGAACCTTAGCGCAGAGGAGTTTGAGCTCTACATGTCTGGACAGGCCTCCCCCCACTGGACCCAGGGAGAAGGTGCCTCCAGCAGCTCTCCTGGCAGCTCTGCCCTCAGCCAGGTCCACAAGCGCCTGGATCTCTTGACTGGTCTCGGGGAAAGGCAGGACAGCGTGATCGAGAAGGCGCGGCAGCTGGAGAGCGACCTCATCGACTGGACAGACGAGGTGGAGCAGAAGGTGCAGAGTGTTTTAGAAAGCTTTCCCCCGGACCTCCCAAAACCAGCCCCCGCCGCCACTTCTGCTTCTGCCATAGACTCTGAAAACGTGGAGAATGAAGGACTGCCCCCACCTCTGCAGCCACAAGTGTTTGCTGGTTAATGTACAGAATCCAAAAATAGTAGGAATTTTATTTTAAAGAAAAAGTCACCGTCCCTAATATAGTGACAGGCTTTTTGATCCACAAAACACTACAGAAACAGCATAGAGCACTGCTAAAATAGGACTAACCGTAATTTTATATTTTCTGCTATTTATGAAGCTGCATCTTAAATGGCAGTACAATGTTTTGAAAAGAAACCAGTCCAGCTGCATTTTGGGATTATAAATGTATTTTAACGTTCAACAGTAATTAATAATTTAAATAACTCCATCTCTCTCTCACTTCCTCCTCCGTCGAGCAAAGACGTGTCTTAGTCCGCTCCTGCTTCTGAACGGCTTGCTATCTCCTGTTTTTGTCTTTTTTCCTGGAGCTTTGCCACAGACAACTTTAACAGAATGGAAATGATTAATTGGTCCCTCAACGCAATTGATTCTATCTTTTCAACACGTAAGCGTGGGTCTGGAGAGCCCGTGTGTCCGGACGGGACCTCACCGGCGGGGTATACGCTTGACAGCTGGAACAAGTGGCAGCCCCTCTGTCTGTCGACCCTGTCCATTGAAGATTCGGAAGACGTATATATCTTTGGCATTTTGGTGGTGGGAATCCTCCTGTTTGGGTTTGGAGCGATCCTCTTCTACCACAAATTCGGAGGCATGGCAGTTCGCAAGATTCACGACCTGCTGGCCGATAAAATTGATGGGATGTACAAGGAGCTTAGCCGTGTCGTGGTTGAGAGTGCCGTGTCTGGACAAAGAAGGGTGGTTTTGGTGGAACAGTTGATCAAAGACCTCGCAGCTCGTTCACTTGATGGACATAAGACTTTGGAATTGAGATTGAATGACATTGTTTGTCACGCTTGAACTCTCTGACCCGGCTTGGATTTGCCCCTGTGTACGGGGTCTGAGGGCGCCGCAATTCGGTTTAATTGGAATTAATAGAATATCTGCCTGCTTTTGACTGCGACATTGCAGGCGATGTGTTTTTCTCCTCCTGTGGCTTCTCTCCACTCTTATCTCACATTCCTCAGCCAAGGCCATAAACAAGGTCCCACAATCTACAACAACTCACACTACTTCAGTCTTCAGCAAGGATCCCCCACCCCCGCCTCCCTCTACCTATCCATCTTGCTCCCTCCCTCCCCTCCATTCCTTATTGTTTTCCTACTCACCCCCTCCCTGATCCCGCCCCCCTCTGACAGCTACATTGGGCCGGCCGAAGAGGTGCTCTTCCCGAGAAAAAAATCCGTGGTTTATAAAAAGCACAATGTGTCTATCCAATTGTCTGTGAACTGTATGTTATTGCTCTCTGCTGTTTCTTGCTGCACACAGCGCCGCAAATGGCGAAGTGGCACGCTCTCTGCCAAAACAATTTCCAAGTGATAACTTTGTTACTCACGTGGCAATAAAAATGATTCTGATTCTGATTCTGATTCTGATACAGACAAATTTCATTATTCTAAGATTCTTTTCTAAATATGGGCCTAAGTTCAGCAGTGATATTGACCGGCCATCCTTTCTATACTGTAGCTCTCCAGTAAAATCTTAAACCATAGGCATATACAAAATGTCAGTTTATTTTGTCACTTTATCTTTTCATGAAGACATTATTATTGATTTCCTTTGTTCCTAAAAGATTGTTCATCTCAATGTGGACCCAGTTTGTTCCACTCTTCTATAGGAACCCAACGTATGATGATGTCTGGTTTAAGCGATGTTTGAAATTTCACCATAAGATGTGATTGATGTTTCTTGATGCAATACTGACTGTAACTCAAACAGAAAATTTAACAATACTCCATTTGACATTTCAGTTGTCTTTTACAATATTTATTCAGTGGCACTCGTTCGAGGCCGTTTTCATCAAAGGAACTTCAATAGATGCTCACTGTTGATGGTTAAACTATTAGCTTGTGTTGCTCTATTTCATGACTTTTTATTACTGTGTATTTGTCCACTTTTGAATTTGACCAAATTATTTTAACCCTTCTCATAACAGCTTGAATAACTGTTTGCACTGTATGCAGAAGCCCTTTATGTGATGTTTTAATTTTAAACTGTATCTCTGCAACCTTATAGGTTTATGACATGGAAAAACAACACTGTCTTCTATTTAAATGTAACTTATTTGGGCAGTGTTGGTTTATTTGCATCTATGGGTGTGTGCTGACAATAAAAGTAATTAAATAATGGTATCCGACTATATTTGATTTTTTTTTTTTTATTGGAGGAGAAAAAATCCTGAACCCGTTTTGTGAAAGATTAGTTGTTTAAAATTCACAGATTGATCAAGAACATTTTAATTGCTCTGGATGGAGTGTGACGGCCTGGGTCACTCATGACTAATTTAAAAGATTCTCATTAAGAATGGAAACACTTGAATCACTCCGGACAAAGTCAGGAAAGTCCCAATTTCCTGGTCAGGTGTGCAGAGATCCTAAAGTCTGATGCAAAAAGACTTTAGACTCTTTTCTGAAGGTAAACTTTCCTGCTCTTTCAGCTCTGATACTGTTGTGCCACAGCTGGATTTCACCAAAGAAACTGGCAACTTAAATGTGATTGGACAATCCAAATTTTTGAATGTGAATAGAAATACAAACTTTGTGAATCCTAAAGTGTTTGACACGAATGGCATGTTAAAATGGGGGAAACTGTAATGATGGTGCTTTATAAATACATTTGATTCTGATTTATTGACATTACAGATCTACTTGAAAAGGAGATATCTGACGGTAACTAACCAGTCATTTCCCCCACACTTATTATTAAATGAAGTGGGTGGACTTTGTTTCTGTATTGGGTAAATCTTTGTTTCACTTCCCTTACAGCAAACAGTCTCTCGTCACAGTTCCATCATAATGGGTCGGATGCGTTCACTTTTCTGTGAGTTTGATCTATTCTATGTTTGAATCACTGTAATGTTTCTGTTTGATAACTAAGCGTAAACCATTTCTCATGTAGGGTTGTCTATAGTGCTTCTCATGCATTTGAAAAGTGAGTACCAGATTTATTATAGCACTAACAGAAAAGTTGCAGCTCTGGAGTTGTACCACACAGCTGTATTATTAAAAACGTTTGCATGCATGACATGTATTTTTTCCTCAGAGCCAGTAACATGTGCAACACCACTTCAGCCTTCAGTGGAAATAGTCACCGGACATGTGAAAGTATTCACTGGTGATTCAGTGAAACTAAAATGTGTTGTTCCTGCCACGCCCTATAATTCCATCTGGACCTACGCCTGGTATAATGGACATGACCAGATGCCAGATATTAGCAATGAACATCTGATATTTTCACGTATCAAGACCAAACAAAGTGGGAAGTATTGTTGCCAAGCTTTTCGAGATACAAGCGTTCAAGACATTCCTACCAGCCCCAGTCTACCAGTAGAAATCAGTGTAGATGGTAAGTTGGTCAGGCCAGTAACCTTTAGAGACAATGCTGTTGGCTGTGAGGTTAGAAGAATATTGTCATGAGGTTCTTGAAGGGTACATGACCTGGTGATTTGTGGGTTTTTTTCAGGTGGATGGGCAATTTTAGATACCCCATCCCAGGCTGTGGTTGGGTTCCCATTGTACATGGTATGCCGTGTTCGAGGCAATTATCCCATTCATGAGGTGGTCTTGTATAGAAATGGAGAGGCCATTTTGGTACAAGATGTCCCCAAGTTTATACTGAACAATTTGACTGTTGCGGACTGGGGTGTATATACTTGCAGGGCATCCTGGAATCAAAATAGAAAGACCTATTCTGTCATTTCTGCTCAAGTAACAGTCCAAGTTGTAGGTAAGTTACAAACCGTGTGAATGAAATAAGTCTCCCCCTGTTTATTATCTTAATTTTCCTGCGTTTCCTTAGAGCCTCTGACGCAGCCCAGTTTGACCGTTGTTGACAATGAGGAAATGCGTTCTTTGTCTAAGCTTAAGCTTGAATGTGTGCTTGAGTACAATGTTCCAGACCCTGCACCTCTGCTCATTTACTATTTCTACATCAACGACAACCAGTATGGGACCCCAACTTCAGACAACTACAGTCTGGTTGAGAGATTAAACGGCATTTTTAAATGCCAGGCCAAGGTGCCTCAGCTGGGCCTGTCCCAGTGGAGTGAGCCTGTATCCTTTTAACTGGTATATCCAAAAGTCAGACAAAGCACACTCTAAAAACACATTGTTAGAAAAACTACTTATCTTATTGGTTTATCCAATATTGGTTAGATTATTTGGCACGATGTGGTCATAGTGTCAGCCAGTTATAGATTGTTTTTAAGCCAACAGATTGGTCGACCACAGAACTACCAATTAGCTTGGTTACAACAACCAAAACACTGGTGAAATTTAACCAACTTGTTTTTAGAGTGCAATGTCATACCAGTTGTACAACTCTTTAATAAACTACTTACTTTTACTTCATTTTAAGATATAATTGTATCTGTGTCTTCTTTGATTATTCAAACTCTCTAAATAGACAACAATGCCAGGTATACTTTTATTTTGAATTAGAAAATAATTCAAAGAAATGAGTTCATGTTACAATAGCCAGAAGCATTTTGTATGAATGCACATGTACCTATGTATGTGTAGACATGTTTATGTGTATTTGTGTGTATGTATATATATATATAGGTGTGTATAGGTGTACGTGTATGTATATGTATGTGTGTCTGTATATGTGTATGTAAATGTATATGTATATATGTGTGTGTATGTATGCGTTTGTGTATATATATGCGTATATATGTGGCCATGCAATCATCTGTAGGTATATGCGCGGATGTGTATATGTATATATTTATAACAAATCTTTCATTTTATCCGTTATTTTTTTATTTGTTTTTATTTTTAATATTTACTTACCTATTTATCATTATCTTGCGTGGCTACATCTAAAAAATAAATAAATAAAAATCAACAATAGAAATACTTAATTTCTTAAATAACTTAAATACTTAAATAACATGCTATGTTATGAATTTACGAGTACAGTAAAAGTCGTGTGTGTACTGTTGTGATAACTAAAACACCAACAAAAAGCTCAGAGCAAGACTTGTAATTCACATGCAGTTAGCAAAATATATCAAAAGAAAATAGTTTGTTTTGTAACAAGGGAAGTTAAAGCTATCTCAAGAGAAAAACTGTGTGAAATAGGACAAAGTCAGTGCTTTTGTTGAAACAGTTTTATGGCATTGTTTATTCTTTCTGAAAAGTACAGGGTTAAAATAACATTTATGACACTGCTGATAGATTTTGTTGGCAAAATTACGTCTTGGGTATAAAACAATCAGTCTCCTCGAAGAACACCCATTATTTGGTTTTGAGTGTAATGTGCCACATTCAGACACTGTTGGGATAAAGCAGGAATCCAGAGAAGATGCTGTCATCCTCAGTGCTGGCATAGACCCCATTCCAATCCCTGAGCGTCTCCACCCAAACCTGGTCCCCCTGATTCAGCTGCAGCACCACCAGAGTGGAGGCCTGGTCAATGTCCTGTCCATACAGCGAGTCCCGGATCCGCACTTTCCGAGAGCCGTTCACCACCAGAGTGGCCCTTAGGGGCTGATTACGCACAGTGATGTGGAAGGAGAACACATAAACCCCAGCATGGACACACGTGAAGCTGTTTGTAGTTGTGTTGAAGTGATTTTCCTCATTGTAAAAGATTTTGTCAAAGCGAACGGGGAATCCAGATGGAGGAAAGGACTTTCTGGGAGAGATGCCCACGCTGAAGGCCGAGCGCCTCAGGACAATACTTGTGCCTTTTGCTCCTTTAAAACCTCTCATGCCGCGTTCTCCTCTCATGCCGGGGTATCCTCTGTCACCCTTGGGCCCAGGAAACCTCATTCCTTGTGGTCCTTGGGGACCTCTTAACCCTGGTTCACCCTTTGGGCCAGGAATTCCAGGATCCCCTCTACCTCCAACTGTACCAGGGATACCATGCTTACCATTGGTTCCTGGGATACCCATGGGACCATGTACCCCAGTTGGTCCTTGGTCACCCTTCTCACCTTTAGTGCCTCTTTCTCCAAATGTGCCACATTCCCCTGTGTCTCCTTTATCTCCTTTAGGACCAGGCCCGATGGGTCCTGGAGGACCATCTTTGCCTGGCTCTCCTCTCTCTCCTGCTGTACCATTCACACCTGCTTCGCCTTTCGCACCAACTTCACCGTTGACCCCCTGTAATCCAATGTCACCCTTTTCACCTTTTGAGCCAACATCACCTACACAGAAGACACTGTCAAACATGTAAACCAATAATAAAACAATAACAATTTACCCTTTTGTCCTGGTTTCCCAAGAATTCCAGGCAACCCGTTTTGACCATTGTTTCCTCTGTCACCTTTATCCCCTAAAAAGACCAACAATATCACAATATACAATTGAATAATATTATATTTATTCAATTACTGCAGGGCTACAAAATAACACCTTTGTCTCCTCTAAGTCCAATGGGACCACTTTGCCCAGGTGATCCTGGTAAACCAGGAGATCCTGATAGTCCCTTTTCACCAGGCGGACCTGATTTCAATAATCAAACATATAAATCACATAAATATCTACTTTGAAATATAAGAGGCAAAGCTACAGTACCTGTCAAGCCTCCATCTCCTTTTTGTCCTCTGGGACCTGGTTCTGGAGGACAACATTCACAGAAGTTAAAGTAACACTCATTGTAGTCCAGCGTGTAGTTGCCCGGAGTGTCAGTGTGGCCGTTGTAGTCCGGAGGGTAGCCATGATTGGGAAACGTGGTCCCCTCCATAATAGGCGGCGGTTGGGCAGGTGTAGGACTTGGAGTCACCACTATTTTCAGGGTCTTGGGCTTGCTGGTTGTGGCGGGCTTGTGCATAGTCACCTGAGGAGCTGGCTTTTTGGTGTACTGGTATTTGGGCTTTGGTGTAGTTTTAGCTTCAGCACAGAAGCCCAGAGTGATGACAACCAGAATAACCACCAGTGTGGGTTGAGCAATCCTCATGGTTCACTGCAGTCAGACACCAATATTAACATTATTGTCCAAATCATTGTCTTATAACTCACTTTCTATATTTAAAAAAAAAAAACCCCAGCATGCCTTAATTTCAAAGAGCAAAATACATAACCATGTACATGTTTGACTCACCCTCGATGCATAAGTGCCACAGTCATTTGTCCTCTTTAATGGCAGAGCCTCAGCCTCTGGTCTCACTGATAAGTCTGGCAGACCTGGGCCACCTGCACATGCCCACCAATGAGCGTGTCTGCTGGTGTGGGGGAGGTCTGAAACCCAACTACAGGTGACTGGAGCTGACCCGGGGAGAACCAGTGTGCTGTGGCCCGCTCTCTGAGGCCTTGTTGTGCAGAAGGGTGCTTTTGTGACACAGGATACAGCAGCCACCCGGAGCACTCTCTCGCTCAGAGCAGGTGAGGTGCAAAGGCCGTGGGGCAATGGGTCACCTGATACCACTCCAGCATTCAACTGCCCAGTGCCCACAGCAGCAGCAGCCGGCACCGTGCTGCAAAGTCATGTGATTATTATTATCCGTGCAGAGAAATGATTCAGATCAACTAAGTGTAAGCATTTATGCATTCTACATTCAGCAGATGCTGATGTTATTCACTGATCATCATAGATCTGTGTATCTCTCTTTACATAGTGCAGATCTCCAATCTTGCAGAATGCTCTCTCCTGGAGGTAAGGTCAGCGGGTACTGTGGGTACTTTTAAAACTAAATTTAAAACTCACTTTTATTGAAAGGCTTATTTATGAGCCACACATTTCATTGATGCATTTAAGTAATTTCATGTGCATTGTTCTTAGTTTGACTGCTTTGATAGGTTTGCAAAGTACATTTCAATACATGCAAATTAGATTTTTTGTATCTGTGGGATTGTCAGTGAGTTATTAATTTGCTCTCTTTATTCTTGAGTTACATATCTGTGCACATACGTACTTAGGTTGAGTCTGATTTTCTTTTTACCACTTAATGAACCTATGTGAAGGGTTTAAGGTATTATTTGCAAACACACAGTCTGACATGCTGCTGATAAAATATGTTTAAAAACATTAAAAGGAATTCTTATCCCCCTATGATTAACAATTATGGCATTCCTATCAATAGAGGTCCCGTTAAACATTAGCATAAAAATTGGCCTATATTCCATTTGAGACTTGTCTGCTGCATTACGACAATAGGATACAACTTTCACAGACATTTTCACCAACATTGTGTGTGTGTATGTATGTGCATGCGTGTTTTTATTTTTTTAAATCTATATAACTTGCATAACTTGTATTTATAATGTTTTTCTGAAAAGATGTTTTTTGTTGTTGTTTTTTTTAAAGACAGTGGTTTTACCAACTGTATTTCTTTGAATACACGGACGTGACCCGGCAAAGCTACAGTTACAGTTTAATGAACTATATCCGACATGTTTACATTGTCGTGATTGCATAAGTAGAAGCAGAGATGGGGAGTTAAAAATGCTGATAATCTTCTCTTGCCCAAAAGTCTAACTGTGATTGTAATGCTTTCCTCTCAGTCACATGTCTCCATCTGTGCCACAAGACAATGACCCCTCTCATGATGTAATGAGATAGTATGAGATTTTTGAGGAGAAGTGATTTTCTGCTGGCTGTCTGGTCTGCACTCTTGACTTGTCCGTGACTACGGAGGTTTGAGTAGTGGACATGCCTGGTTTGTCAAAAAGCTCAACCCCTCAGAGAGATCCATGTCCAGCTATGAGTGGGCAGAAAGAACACGGGAAATGAACACTATAAACTGGTGCCGCCAGGTAAGTGAGGTGTGAAGATGTTTCCTTTAGGGTTAACAGAATATTTAGCTGTCTACTTATAAAGATATATATGAGTATCTGCCCTGCTGCAATAGACAACCTATCATGTTGATTTTTCCTGTAAAATACACTTTAAGAACTATAAAAAAAAAAACTCTGAATGAGCTTCTTGCTATTTAGATGACATTTGTAAACCTTTTTGTTGATTCATTTGGATATCAGCTGCTCAGTTTTTGACTGCTTTATGGAACATACTGTATAGTCTGTGGAGTTTTCATGTTCTCCCCATGTCAAGGAAGGTTTCCTCCGGGTGCTCCGGTTTCCCCACCCACTAAAAACATGTGCAATAGGTCTGAATGTAACAAGTGAGTGATGGTTGTGGGGCTTTGATGCGCTTCTCACTTCCCTCATCACCGTGTGTGGAGAGAAGAAAAAAATATCTGAACTCTGAACATTTTAAAGCCATTTGAGTGACCGTGGTCTGTAAAATGCGCTATATAAATAAACATGACTTACTTACTATAGAGGCCTCGCCTGTATTCAGACCTGTGTGGTCTGAATAGCACTTACCTTACAGTGGTCCAGGCCTCCCTCGCTGTCTGTTCATTCAACACTGGCACCAGTGCGGACCTCATCCACACACAGCACACTTTGCTAATCTAAGGAGTGCAGTGGAGCCCAGAGCTGTATTACCTTACATTTACCCCTGTTCTCGTATAGACGCTTTACATTGAAGAGGAGATGGCCACAATGTGGAGGATTGATAAGACGGGGGGACCAGAACTCTGTGGCTTGGCACCTTGGACTCTTGTTTTGAGACATGTGAGTGTGTTAAGACTGCAGAGAGTTTTACCATTTGCACATCATTCAATACGAGATACTGTTGCTCTGATCAGTCTCTTTCTGCATGATACTTTTGACACAACCATGCAAAATATATATTTTTCAAAGAACTGTCAAAAAGAAGAAATAGCCACTTTCTAGAAATACTTTAACACAACATACAAGCATGTGTGAGAGACAAAACAAGTAAAAGTAAAACGACCTCATCAAGAATCTCAATGTTCAGGAAATGTAAATGACTCTGTACTTGTTGCCGTGGTTATATGTTTGTAAAGAAGGTTGGGGGGCGTAAGGACCAACCATAACAGTATAATTCACTGAGAAAGATATTTTCGCAATATCAAAAAGCGTTTGAAAATGTTTTGCCTATACCCATTCAATTCAAACATACAAGGCTCCTACTTTTGCTTTTTTCCAGGTTGTTCTTATAATGTGTCTTTGCAAGGGCTTTGTGTCTTGTGCCACCTGATACGTCTTTCTGCAGACAAAGCTCGACCTCTATATGTAATGCACTGACTGTCCTGACATGACCCCAACTCAGCGGCCGCTGTGAAAGCTCCAGTAAAGATCCTTTCACTCCATGTTCCCTCTGTGATCAAGTGTCCATTTTCTACTCCATATAAATAAAAGAAGCACATCTTCTCACATTCCTGCGACTTTTCAAAGATTCCTTGACAGAACTTGGATTCTTCACTCTCAAATTCTCCTCAGTGACTTGTGTGTAGAAGAATGATGAATGTTTTAATTTAGATTTAGTTAGGATTTTGAGTTACATTTGTTTTTTTCATTCATAAAAACATTATTTGTGAGAAATGAAATGAATTGGAACAGTTCAAAACAAATCAATTACATTCTTCTATCTATGTGTCTATCTAAGAGCCTGAAATTTGAGCAAAATATCTAATTTTAGCACTTTTTATATTTTGTGGATTCCGTAAACCACTCCTGGAGCATCAACAATTTGCAATATGAACTATCAAATCCAATGCATTTCAGAACGTGCAATTGTTTTTTAGATCTATTATTAGGATCTATGATTTAAAAATATGATCAAAACATTTTTTTATTTTTTTAATCATTGACATGTGTTGATGAAGCACAATAAATAAAATAGTTTTGAAAAAGATTTGTAGATTTTTAGTGATAGTTTTGCAGTGCTGTTACTTCACCACCAGAGGGCGCTATTGAATCGAACTCCTGCAAAACCATGGCTACATCCAAATAGAGCAAAATGACCATCTCCTATATCCTTCCTTGTCCTTCCTTGGCCTTTTATGAGACGAGGTACTTTCAGGTTTAGTCAAGTTAAATTGTACGCAGTTTTGTAATGCCAGTTAGGTCAAATGTTATCCCATAAAGATCTATTCAACTTTAGGCTTCATCCAATTTCGCAATCTCTCACATATCTTTTTCCGCACTTTATAATCTCGAACCTTGGACAATTTTCAAAGCATATTTTGAAAAGGTGTGCCTGTACCTGGGCTCAATCAAATGCTATCAGGAGTGGCTCATATTGACTTAACTCTGATACTACATTGTGAGCAGAAATCATACCTCCAGGCGACTGTCTTTCTTAAAACAAACAACAACCGTTTATTGCACAACGAAACCACTGAATATTACTCAGTGGCTCTAACAGCAAACGACAAACCACTCTTGCAATTTACTATCTTTGCAAATTATATCAGTTGAATTAAACCTTTCTCATAGGACTATTTCTACACGTTTGCTAATCCAATTTGTTTTGCAATTTGTTATTATTCTATTGACCAATGCCTCCAAGGTGTTGTGTTGTTGTATTCTATTATTATTGAAATAATAATCATAACTGGAGTATTAACTAAATAATTCAAAAAGTAAAACTAAAAGCCTTGTCTTGTTATTGTATTTTGCCAATAATATAATTAATTTAATGTTCTCCATCAAGAAGCCTTTGGTCAAGATAAACTTGTATGTCAAAGCCTTCACTCCATACAACAAAACAAAAACATTTATTCAAAAAAATGTTTTAGTCCCAGTCCTTTGAATAACATGTTGATGAAGAACATCAAGAATTCTTTCTGCTAATTATGAAAACACATCTCAAAATGAATTGATATAATTGGAGGATCAGTTCACCAAAGCAAAGACGAATTGATTGAAAATAGAGAATAAAATGATGTTTTGTGTTGTTTCAAGCCCAACATCTTCTGGTCTTGCTCTTTCTTTCCCATACGGTGACTCCCAGCTGGGTCACAGAGCCAACTCACCATTCCTATTTCACCATATTGACCCTGTGGATTTTCCTCTAACATCATGTGACACGTGAAAAACGCGTTGTTGAGGCTGTAACTGTAGAAACACCTTCACAAACATTTGTATTGCAGAAAGCGAGATGTGTTTTCTATTGTCCTTCCGCGTCCTGGATACTAAAAAAACTCAGGGGTGTAGGATTACAAGAACAATTGTCACCCACCCACCTGCAGATGTGCTCTTGTTTTATGTTCTTTAGTTTCGTATCGCTACTAAAATATGACAAAAATGTGTCAGTGTAAGTTAGCTGGGACTGATTACAATGTGCTGTTCATTTCTATTTTTTTAGGAGAAACAGAATTGTCCGGTGTTTGATGATGAGAACCGGTTTGGTGGCTTTTCTTCATTGTTCCATCTCGTCCCATGCCAATGAAAAGCTCCTGTTTCTTGTGGTCGTCTCTTTCATAAAAAAGTTCCTATGTTACTGAATGGCAGAACAGAAGACAGTTTTGTGCTCCATATTCCTTATTTATTTGTAAAAGTGAAAATATTCACATGTAGCAAACACATACAAGACTCCTTTTTCAATATAAAAATGAAAAACAAAATGTGCACTTGACATTGGATCTGTAATTGTACTTATAAGGAACTATAAACGGGTAAAAAGGTTGATATTATTGGCCATCAGAAGAAACGCACAATATTTGTTGAACAATAATCCAATAGTTTTTGGTAAGTGACATTGTTACCAGCCAAGCATTCACCAGTATATAAATATTTGAATCCAAAAAAATACAGTTCACTTATCTGATAGTACAGATCAATACAAAGTAAAAACAAGTCAACAGATTTCTCAACACATTCTGAAAACACAAAATAGAATACACCTGGCATCATATGTGCCTATAGATCAACTATAGGAAGAATGGTGTCATCCACACTAAACAAGATTTCAAAATCAATTCACTACCAAATACTAAACCTACTGTCAGACCTTCAATACAAAAGGTGTGGTGCATCAATATTTGCCATTCCTCAGTGCACACCATCCCAACATACCAAGAGTTCGTGATAACAGAAAGAGAGTGCTGCACAAATCAATGTGATTTCTATGGGCTATCACTCTCTTTGAACAGGAAAATAGTTGAGACAAGAGATCAACTTCACTTAAGAGGCCTCTCGATGACCTCTTAGGAAAATGCTTTGGCGATATTTGCATAACAAAATTGTTTAGGCACACCAAACAATTTGAACAAATATGACAACCATGAATCAGCAGTAGTGTTCTTCCCAATTCCCAGCAGTGTGGTAGCCATTTTTGATACAAAAACATTTACTCATTGATGCAAGTGTGTGGTACAGTCTTCATTATCTGTTCACAAATACACATACAGATGCCACCAGCTTCAGACGGAGATGAGATACAATGTGTCGTGATCGTGCACAAGACATGAGGTGCATTCATACAGAACAAAACACAGCAGTAATGGGACACAGAGAGAGAAAGGCAAGAGTTGTGCTTGTAATATATTTAGGTTTAATCACTTTGGGAGCTAAAGGGTGTGTTCAAAGTCATTGTCACATGTGTCCATGTTTCCTCCATTTCTCCTGTCTTTGTTTTAGTTCATAAGTGTCATTGTACTTTGTGGCTGACCTCCAAAAATACCTGAGAAAAATTCCAGTGCAAGCCGCAGGTGAATGGGAACAAAGACATATGAGGTGTAGATTGCCATGGCAATTGCGGAGAAGAGAACTGAGTTGAATATGGATTTTTCCCATGGCTCCAGGACATAAATACCAGTGATGAGGAGATATTGGTAGTACAGCCAGGCCAGGTACTCCCTCAGGTTCTTGAAATCCATTGCTAGAAAACGAAGCAAAAAAAAAAAAAAAAAACAACAATTTCTACAGCTTCTACAAAAGTCAAAGTGCCTCTTTGGCATGCTCAATTATAATCAGACACAAACACAAAAAACAGTGTATATGCAAAGTTGGACATGATTTTTGATTCAGGAGTAAAGAGATTAATAACTTTAAACCATTAAACTATCTGCGATAACATAGCTCTCTCCTCAAACAGATCAGTGGATGTGTGTGTATGAAAAAGTGTGAAGCCTAATGAAATTAAACCCAGGGAGTATACCTAAACTCCAGTGCAAAAAACAAACCCTTTTTTACATGGTGCTCAATTATCTCACACATGAAGTGCCCGCTCCTACTGACATGGGGAGGATAGTAAACATTAATGAACACAGTTTTTCCATTTTGGATGCATTGGCTTAGATCATTTTGCCGATCAAAAGGTACTTTGATTTTTTTTGTATTCAGTTCTCTTAGTACCGTTATTATACCAGATCCATGGTGGTTAGTATACTTAATTAGGTAGTAGCATTTAAATATTTTAGCAGTGATTTGACTATGCTTTGCCTATAGCCCCAGGCAGATTATAGTACAGAGGGCGGAGTCCATAGGTGCGCTTGCAGGTCTCGCCTGGCAGCACAGCTCACAACATGTTTATTCATCATCACCACATGGAGAAATTTTGCGGGAAACATTTTCTAACTGTAAAATGTGTGAGCTTAGTAAGTTCCTTGAGCGTCAGTGTCTAATGTAGATCCCCATGCAAACCCCACTGCTCCCATCAGTGGTGCAATCCTCCTAAACTGATCTCTAGGCTCTCTAATCATCAGTGTACGAACTCACCTCGGCCGAAGCAAGATCCCTGGCTGTAAAAGAGTCTAGTGAGAGCTGTACCGGGACCAGCGCAGACAGCAGCCCGCACAGGCCTCACTGTTGCTCCCCTGCTTTGTGTAAACCAAAAGCAGTTCCGCTGGTTTGTTGTGGTCTATATGTAGGAGTCGACACACCCACTCCCCATGATGCCACTCGCCTGCTCTCTGTTGACGTGCTGCGGGTGGAGGGCTGTTATGTTAGATGGACTGGTCAGCGGCTCGGTTCGCCCTGTGGTGCCATTGACTGTGGTGGTCCCGGTCATGTCATCCATGTGAGGAGCGCGCACGCAGCGGCTCTGTCCCATCTGCAGCAGCGCATTCCGCTACCACTTTGTGCTTACAGCGATTTCCTCTGTCGTCAAGCCCACAGATATGAGTGAATGCATGTTTTAATCAACTACGCAAGCACTACAGAAGTTAAAAGCAAAGATAATCAGTGGTTGGCATTGGCAAGTAGAAGTATGTATGCCGTGTGCTCCTCTTTCCTACTGTTCTATAACCTGTGATGCAACACCGAAATGTCCCCACTGTGGGACAAATGATCTCTTAATCTTAAACCCGGCTGCAGCCCAGGGGTAACGTTCAAAACAGTTCTTCTATCTCTAGTTTTCACACGCGCATATATACATTTTTATATAAAATCACACACACATATATAGATAGGTATTAGTCTCTGTCACATTTGTTTAAGTTGTTCAAAAGGCAATTGGCTTAAATGTGTCTAAAAACCTTTTATTTCGTCAACGAAAATACATTGTACGATTAAGACTGGTGCCTTTTCACCACTGGAGATACTCTCTCAACATTGGACAGAGGTGTTTAGTAAACATGTTCTTTGCCCTCCCTCTGCTGACCAGCTCAGGTCACTCGAGTCGACCGCGGTGAAGTTAGTTTGAAGTTGGATATCCGACAGACATTCAACGGTCATTCCCTCTCGGTACACCTCTCCTTCTCTCTGGGTTCAGAGCGACTCGAAAGCCGCTCCAACAGCTCCCTCGTTGGAATGTCTGATGAAGGGGAAGAAAATTGATGGATGGATAATGTCAAATTATTATGAGATCCATTTCGAAATATTATGAGTGCCTGCAGGGGGGTAGCACCAAATTCTGGGCCCCGGGTACAAACAGTCTCAATGGGCCCCCACTACACGTTTCTTATATTTCTTTTATAAAGAAAGATATATATATATATATATATATATATATATATATATATATATATATATATATATATATATATATATATATATATATATATATATATATATATATATATATATATATATATATATATATATATATATATATATATATATATATATATATATATATATATATATATATATATATATATATATATATATATATATATATTATATATAATATATATATATATATATATATATATATATATATATATATATTATATCTTTCTTTTTATATATATATATATATATATATAAGAAACCCTATTTATATATATAATAATTTAATTAGTTAATTTTCAACTAAACACCTGTGCCTAGCCTTACTCCGCCCACAGTAAAAATGGCACCAGTGGAGAAGAAGGGGGGCTTACAGTTGGGCATGGTCTGGGCTGTGATTGTCAGTTGTCATTTCTGGCTTAAAAGCAATAGTTTACAGACCAGAAAGTCTCATTTCACCCTTGTTTACACACTAAGATAATTGTAGAGCTAGAAACCTGACCATTAGACTTATTTACATTATTTTGACCACTAGATGTCACCAGAAAACTCCAAATCGGTGCGGGGGCATGTGATTTGTATGATCCAATGCAGAGGCCAGTGAGTGACCCATGACTTATGACTGCAAGACTCACGGAAGGACAGATTATGACAATAGTGGGAATATAGGGTACAGGGTTGTACATGAAAATAACTCTTTGCTGCCTGCCTTTGAAGGAGAAGTGGACAGCAGTGTGTATGAGCTCCCTTTACAGCTGCGCGTCTGTGTGTCACTCTGGATAACGTTTTTTTTTTACCACGTACACGGCACACTGTTAGCTCTCCGTGAGTTTAGAATACAGAAACAAATGTCTCTGGGTTTTCTCCTGATGTTGCCTTAACACGTCTCTATATACTCACCTCTCGTGTGGAAGAACTGAGTAAGCAATTGCTTGCCCTCATTACACTTTTTCTCCCTGTCCTGTCTTTCTTTTCTTTTCTGAAATCCTGATTTTCCTTTCTTTGGAAAAGACATTTCTATTTTCCCCGCTTCTGCCGCTGCTTGTCAAACAAGTCAACTCGCTGCAGCGGCAGCAACACAGCAACAAGCGCACATGTGGGTCGTACCATTTGATCTTTTGTAAGGGGATGGCAGGGCCCTGATATAGCATACAAATTTGTTTTTAGAGGAAAACTGAGGTTAAAACGTTGGTTATTTTTATACAAGGCCCCTTTCATTCAAATTGTAATAATATGAATATACCACAATGCCTAATACATATAAATATAAAGACACACTTTAGAGGGCCCCTCCCCGCCTTGGGCCCTGGGTACTCGGTACCCTTTACCCCCCCAGTCCGACGCCCATGAGTGCCTGGGCCCCATAAGAGACCTGCTTGCGACCCTGGGGAGAGACTTGCGGAGCGCAGGAGAGAACTGCAGACAGAGCAGGTCCAGCCTCTGAGCACCTTGGTACTCGTAATGTTTTTAGCCAATTGCTTCAGTATGTTTTTATAAAAAAAAACATATTATTCTACATTTACCTGTTTATTGAGGAGCAGAAGAGGATCCAGCACAAGGTCCAGTGGAGTATCAGGAGGGCCAAGAAGGACTTTGGGAAAAAGCTGGAGCAGAAGCTGGCTCAGGGAAACGCCTGCGACATGTGGAGAGGACTAAAGAACATCTCCGGCTTTGGGCAGAGTGCCATTGGGACAGCGGATGGAGACCAGCACCGGGCGGATGAATTTAACCAATATTTCAACCAGTTTGATTCTTCCCCCCTCCCCATCTCCCCCCCTCCCCCCCCCACCTCTTCACACGTGCCCAGCCCGGTGGACACTGCCTTCGGCTGCCCCGGGCCGTCCTGCCCCCACCCCCAGCCCCCACCTCTGACAGTACACCCCCCCCCCCCTCTCCATCACACCGGACCAGGTGAGGAGTCAGCTCCAGAGACTGACTCAGAGGAAATCCACAGGACCGGAAGGGATCAGTCCCAGGCTGCTGAGGACCTGTGCAGACCAGCTCTCTGAGGTCCTCTCTTAGGTCCTCAGCTACATGTACAACCTGAGCCTCAGCCTGGAGAAGGTCCCTGTCCTGTGGGAGACCTCCTGTGTGATCCAGGTTCCTAAAACAGCGCACGCCAAGGAACCGGCTCACTACAGACCAGTCGCACTCACCTCCCACTGACCTCCCACCTGATGAAGACCATGGAGCGGCTCATCCTCACCCACCTCCGCTCTGTGGTCAGCCCCACCCTGGACCCGCTGCAGTTCGCCTACAGGCCCAACATCGGAGTAGAGGACGCCGTCATTTACTTACTGCAGCGGACGCTCTCCCACCTGGAGCCTGCAGGGAGCGCTGTGAGGGTCATGTTCTTCGACTTTTCCAGTGCTTTCAACACCATCAGACCGGCGCTGCTGCGGGGGAAGTTGGAGGACGCAAGAGTGGACAGTAGCCTCACTGCATGGACCATCAACTACCTCACCGCATGGACCATCGACTACCTCTCAGACCGACCACAGTACGTGCGGCTGCGCAGCTGTGAGTCTGAGGTGGTAGTCTGCAGCACTGGGGCCCCTCAGGGCACTGTCCTCTCACCGTTTCTCTTCACCATCTACACCTCAGACTTCACACACGACACACACAGCTGTCACCTGCAGAGGTTCTCCGACGACTCCGCCATCGTGGGCTGTGTGTCTGAGGGGAACGAACTGGAATATGGGTCGGTTATCAAGGACTTTGTCGACTGGTGTGAGCGCAACCACTTGTGCTTGAACACCAGTAAGACCAAGGAGATTGTACCTGTGCTAACACCAGTAAGACCAAGGAGATGGTACCTGTGCTAACACCAGTAAGACCAAGGAGATGGTAATCGACTTCAGGATAAAACCACTTTCCCACACGCTGCTGAACATCCAGGGGGAGGACATTGAGCTGGTGGACAGCTTCAAGTACCTGGGTGTTCACATAAACAATAAACTGGACTGGTCCCATACCACCAACGCTCTGCACAAGAAGGGCCAAAGTCGCCTCTTCCTTCTGAGGAGGCCGCGGTCCTTCTGAGGAGGCCGCGGTCCTTCTGAGGAGGCTGAGGTCCTTCTGAGGAGGCTGAGGTCCTTCTGAGGAGGCTGAGGTCCTTCGGAGTGAGCAGGCCTCTGCTCAGGACCTTTTATGACTCTGTGGTAGGCTCTGCCATACACTACGCTGCCGTGTGCTGGGCCCCGGGCAGCACAGAACGGGACAGCCCCCTGGACTCTGGAGGAGGTGAGGGACAGGAGGGTGCTAGTCAAGCTCCTCCAGCAGACTGTTCCAGAGACGGGGCCGTAGTGATGGACGTAAAGCGCTTTGGGTGACCTTAGTCTGTAAAATGCGCTATATAAATAAACATTACTTACTCACTTACATATGCCTCAGCTTGAGTGTGTGTCCTGGCTTTGGTAATGGAGGAGTCTGCTGCAAGAACCGGGATGGTTCTTTGGATAAAAGCAGTTATGAGTAATAAGAAGGCCCAAGACCATGAAGACATGAAAAAAACCAGTGAAAGAACCTAAAAATTGATCCTGAAACACACGGGAAGCCAATGCAACAAATTTAAAACCGATGTAATAAAACTGTACTGTATTAAAAGTCAGGATCATATTCCTCCCCTAGCTGTAGGGGGTACACCTCTTCTTTTGTCATTTAAGTTTTTTAAAGAATTTTTAATGCATTTTTAAAGGCAAATATTAGCATTTTAGCTCAATAGCTTCCAGGTCATGTGACCTATTGAGTCCAAATCAGGTCAGGATCATAGTCCTCCCCTAGCTGTAGGGGGTACACCTCTTCTTTTGTCATTAAAATGTTGTAAGTATTTTTAATGATTTTTTATATGTAAATATTAGACCAGCGTACACGCGTGTTTACCGTACTGTGTGTAGTACGGGTGCACTTAAATGTTGCGGCGAATGTCTGTCGGATATCCAACTTCAAACTAACTTCACCGCGGTCTCGAGTCGTGCATTTCATGTGTAAACATAGGCAGTGTCGCAGGTTACCACACACATGTGACGCATCGTTTTCATTCTACCAGACATAAACATATTCTACAATAAAAAAACTAAGATTTCAATGTAGAATTGATATTTCAGACATTTACATGCGAGGTAAGGGCAGACATTGAAAAAGCTCAAAAAATACATCTAATTCTTAAAGGCCATTAAAACACTTGACATCATTAGGTCCAGTATGCCATGTGCAGGGAGCATCAAGAGTGTTTTTAGTGGTAGGGGGAACCGGAGCACCCGGCGGAAACCCTGAGGAATAATTTGGATTGATTTTTGGGCTTGGGATCATCTCCCCATTGACTAGTTGTCTTTACCCATCTTTATCAAGTCCCACAGACAAATCCACCCAAGGAATCAATTTGACTCATTTTCCCAACTAGATCTGATAACTCTTACATTAGGACTTACCAAAGGAATTAGATAAATTGCTCTTAAGACTAGATGTCTGACTTGAGCAGGAAAGATTAAATACCCTATTTTGAATGTGATGTAACATGAACCAGACCTCTTGCAGAAGCCTTCTCTTAAAATTTCCCACAGTATAAAAATGACTGACTGACCTTGCTTACTATATTATAATAGATCCATTCATATTCCTCCATATTACAGAACACAGTCCAGGTGACGAGCTCCCTCTGGTGACAGTTTTACCTTCATACAACGTAAACTGTAAATGTAAATTCATCTAAGAGCTTAAATGAACAATTAAAAAAAATACAAATTAGTAGAATATATAATAATTTACAGGGTTAAAAAGGTTTATTATTTCCACTCTTGAAAACACATTTCTCCTTATTGAAGAACCCTGTATTGACTAGTCAGTCATCATGTCTGCTCCATCTCCACCAGTCGCATCATTCAGGCTCATCTCTTCCAACATCTCTGCCAGGGAGATGCGTGGTGCTCCATCATCATCGGTGTCACTCTCAACCGGAATCTTTGACGTATCTGAAATGTAAATGTCCAAACAATGTCACAAGTTTGAAGTAAATGAAGTAAATGCACAATTTACAGTTTCCTTAATGCGAGTGAAGTTTCTCACCTTTATATATGTTGATATTCTTTCTCAATGCTTCATCCTCTTCAAGGTCTTCCAAGAAGTCTTGATATTGCCTGAGATAAAGTACAAGATTATAAAAAACAGGAAACTGAAGTGTGTATGACAATTAATCATGATGTGGTTTTTTCAAAAAGAACTGCATCCGTTTTATCCAAAAGCCAAACGAAAAGCTTCTTGGCCAAATTCATACTTTGACTATGTTTGAAAACGTCAATACTTCTTACCGTTCATCATCTGTGTCCATTCCCTCCTTGTCTCTGGCCATTTCTTGAAGCTTCCAGTTCCTGCGTTTCACTCTTCTTGTACGATCATAGCTCTTCTTTATCAACACCTAAGGTTGGGAAGTAATCCATTCAATTTATTCTGGTATAGCCCTAAATCACAACAGTAGTCATCTCATAGGACATGCCAAAACTGTTGAAATCGTCAGCACTGATCAGAGAATCAAACAGTTCAAGACACAAAAATCCTAGAACACATCGGTATTGGTCCATAGGGAGTTGACCAATGTCCATGAATGATGATAACACTTTATATGATGCTGTGCGGTTATGCTCATAATGTACATTTCTTTAACCTTTTAAAAAAAACATGTACAGGTCCCTGCACTGGCTTCCTGTGGCTCAGAGAATAGACTTTAAAACAGCTCTGCTTGTGTACAAATCTCTCCATGGCCTCGCACCAAAATATATTAGTGACATGTTAGTCCCATATGAACCAGCCCGGACTCTGAGGAGCACAGGGACTGGACTCCTGTTAGTGCCCAGAGTCAGGACTAAACATGGGGAGGCTGCTTTTCAGATTCATGCTGCTAAAATCTGGAACAATCTTCCTGAAGATGTGAGACAGGCCTCCTCTCTGACAATGTTTAAAACCAGGTTAAAAACAGTTCTGTTTAGCTGTGCATACAACTGAGGGATTTTATATTTTTTATCTTTCTTTATAATAATCTTACTGTGATTATTTATGATTTTAATGCCTTCTTGTTTTGTTCAGCACTTTGAGTTGCCTTGTGTTAGGGCTGGGCGATATGGCAAAAAAAAAAAAATCTGATTTTTTCACACCAAATCCGATTTTCGATTTTAATCGATTTATTTTTTTCTATTTAAAAACAAACTACAACTGACAAAGAAATAGATTTTCCTTTATGCAGTTTAATCTAAGTCTCCATGGAGCATAAGTGTAACAGGAATTAAGCCTTAAAACATGCTTGTAAACGAGATGGCTCTGCCATTGTAAACAGTGAAAATGTAGCTTAACAGTTTTATAATAACTTCACTTACAATGACACTATGCACCTTCAAAATAACTTAAATCACACAAACAAGGCCCATCGCAAATATATCAATCCTATTAAACACATGCATTATTTACATGAAATATCACATTTTTAAAACTGATTACTCAAAATAGAAATGTTGTAACAGTCTTTTCCAAAAGCCTCCTCGGGTTTTCATGCTTGTTCTTTCAACTGTGCCTGAGTAACTGTGCTGTAGTACAACGCTCGGTCCAGCTGGTGGCGCTAATACTAACTTCAGTGACTCCCGCACTGTAGCTAGCAGCCACTGTAGCTAGCAGCCACTGTAGCTAGCAGCCACTGTAGCTAGCAGCCACTGTAGCTAGCAGCCACTGTAGCTAGCAGCCACTGTAGCTAGCAGCCACTGTAGCTAGCAGCCACTGTAGCTAGCAGCCACTGTAGCTAGCAGCCACTGTAGCTAGCAGCCACTGTAGCTAGCAGCTACTGTAGCTAACAGACAGCGGGGAACACGTTGTTTGTATCAGAGCAATGAGCAATGTGTGAGACGTGTCTTTCCCCAAAGTGCAGCGGCTCAGTGGGACACGAGTGTGTGCGCGCCACGGACACGGGAGTGCGCTTTGGAATAACGAGCGTGAGAGAGCGTGAAAGATGTGGCGTACGACCGGAGCCTGTGTGTGTGTGTGTGTGTGTGATTGTGTTCTGGCGATTTAAATAAAGTCTGATTCTTGAACTTTTGAAGTGTTATTGCAACAGCACCAACTGTGAGAGCGAGCCTCAGGCCAGAGGGAGACTGTTAGCATTAGGTTAGCTTCAAAATGACTGCTCAACACCATAGACCCGCGGTTAGCGCGTTAGCGCTGTAGTTCTGCGCTGGAGAAAATAAAAATCGAATTTTTAAAAAAAGAAATCGCTCTAAACGTAAAACTCGAATTAATGATTAAAATCGATTAATCGCCCAGCCCTACCTTGTGTATGAATTGTGCTATACAAATAAACTCAACTTGCCTTGCCTTTACAGTACAGACCAAAATTTTGGACACACTTTCTCATTCAATGAGCTCCCCTTCTTTTCATGATTATTGACTGTAGATTCACACCCAGGCAGTGTATGGGCTCTTTGACCAATAAGGAGAGTGGTGGGTGCTGGGCCAGATGACCTGGCCTCCACAGTCACCGGACCTGAACCCAATCCAGATGGTTTTGGACCTGAACCCAATCCAGATGGTTTTGGGGTAAGCTGGACCACAGAGTGAAGGCAAAAGGGCCAAGAAGTGCTAAGCATCTCTGGGAACTCCTTCCTTGGAGACCATTTCAGGTCACTACGTCTTGCTTATCAAGAAAATGCCAAGAGTGAGCGAAGCAGTAATCAGAGCAAAATGTGGTACTTTGAAGAACCTAGAATAAGACTTATTTTCAGTCGTTTTAATAATTTTTTTAGTATGTGCATAATTCCACATGAGTTAATTCATAGTTTTGATGCCTTCAGTGTGCATCTACAATTTTCATAATCATGAAAATAAACTCTGAATGAGAAGGTGTGTCCAAACTTTTGGTCTGTACTGTACTTTACCCACCAAAACAATCACTTTAATGACAATCTAGCTTTCTAGATTGAAACCAATTCAAACAATTCAGAACATTACTTTCTACTTCGTCAACTAAGAATACAAATATCGTATTCAAAATATTCGGTACAAAAAAAAAATAATGGAGCCCTAAAACTTTGTCAACTAAAACAAACAATACATATAATAAAGAAAATTTATGGAAACATTAGTGAGAAGGCCTTGGTGCTTTAAAAGTCAAACCAACAGAGGAATTTCACAAATTAGTGAAATTGAGAGAAGACCATTCTTACCACATCAGGGACATGATGGGGATTCATCTTGTTTAAATATTCATCATTAACGTTCGAATTGGCAAAGTCATACCTGATGGGAAACAAAATAATTAACGACTGCCAAAGCCAAATTCAAACTCCACAATGCGCAAAATACTTGCCCCAGCACAAGGTCTCCGATGTTCAACAGATGACCAAGGAAAGTACGACAGTGGTACTGCTGACCAGTGTCCATCTCTGAGGTTTTCTGGACCCATACTTCAGCCAAAACATGCTATATGGCACAGACATTTCAGCAAATTCACTCATTTCAAGGGATTATAATATTGAAATGAAAAATAATGGTTTTTCCATGTATTGTCAAAATACCTACTTTATTAGACCTCACTCCAGCCCCAGAACCCAACTTTTGGTCCCTGATAACATCAATGTCCATAACGAGGAACTCCTCCAGCTGCCGTGGACTACAGAGACCGTTGAAAGGGTTCCTCCAATAGGTGTTGCCATCCACCTCAGCAACTAGAAGTAATTTAATACACAATTAATAATGCAATTTAATACCTTCAAAAATACAGAGTATCTAGACAAGCGCTCACTCTGCAAGGTGTTTGGGTCAATCAAATGAATCGTGCTGGTGACTCTAACGCAGACACACACTTGACCAAAGTTCCCCAAGCTCTGGGCCAGTCGCGGTGAAAGACAGACCACATTGTCCTGGTAAACATAATATACATAATCCATTTCAGACACATAGAAACTTTTTACGCTACACTCAATTATCACTTAAGGCTAGAAAGGGACCAAATGTGGTTATAATAATCATGACATACCTTGCAAACTGGAACAATCTCAATAGAGAAAGTGCTCTTGTAGTTGAATGTGTTTGAATGAATGTCATGAGAGATGAGCCGCTGGGATGTTTTTGACCTATTCAGTTGAAATAGGGAAAAAGGTTGAAATCATTAAACCATTCTGGCGAAAGAAAATATGTTCTTGCCCGATACAATTAGAACAAATCTTTGACCAATATAAATAGCCTATAGCTAAATCCTTTACCATTTTACAAAACAGAATGTCTTACCGACATGGTACTGTGCACTGGAGAAAGTCAACCATTTTCTGCGCATGCTGCTTGGAGCTATAATAGAAATCTAGTCCATCTAAAATGTAGCAGAAACGTTCAATAACTTTTGCAGTGAATTACAATTGACAAATACTAAACAAAAACATCACTTTGTAGATATATATTTAATAAGAATAAGATTACTTACCATGTATTTCCTTGATGTTAAGAGCAGTCTGGTGGAGCTTGTGCTTGAGTAGTAATTGTTCCAGATAGTAGAAAGTCTTCTTATGTTGAGTCTATAAATAAACAATACTGAATCTGAAATATTTCCTTAAGCTTATAAATGTTAGAGCTTAAAAATGACCTATATGTATCTAATATGTATGTATCTAATATGTGCTGATGATAAACACACAAAAGAACATTTGAGCGCATTGGTATTATTTGACTTATCGAACAATTATCATGACAGGCGTAATAACATTTAACATTCTGTCCAGCCGTATTTCTGATATAATAGGGTGCTCGGCCTGACTGGTTTTGGTCCTGTCTCCGTGCGCCCTGTAGAGAAGCCACCTAAGGCTCTTGACCTCCAAATACTTCCAAAAGGCGTCTCGCAACATTCTCTTATTGCTCAAACTTTGTAATTGTACATACAATTACTTTCACACATATCATAAGCAAACACTTCACATTTTGAGATCAGCCTTCAGACTGAAAGTGAACAAATTAAAATGAGTTTTCTGCCCAAAACGTCAAATAGTGACTCAAAAGGCTCTTTAAAGTATGCAAACTATATTTTTCTATTCTCAATCCCTCTCACAACATTAGGGATTTAATTTTTTTACAAATTCTATTGACACATATACAAGCTCAACCAGAGTCTTCTCACAGACCCTCTGAAATAACTGGTTTTTCACACGCATCTTTCTCAATCAAATTAAATTAGAGTAAGAGGAGGATTTGGTTTTCACAATTGCTTTGTAAACACGATTGATTGATGAAGATTCACCCACCATTCACCTATTGTTTTCGTTCTAGTACAGTGCTAAAGGACCTCATCGGAAATAAAAATGTCCTATAAAAACCAAACAAGATTCCAACCTTCTGTCGCACTTGAACCACGGCCTTCCAGAAATCCTTTGCCTCAACACGATGGCAGTCATCACACATCTGGGACAGGACAACAAACTCAACCACAAACACCTGCTGCAGAATGGCTCCATTCATCACCTGGGGAAAATAAGTTAGTAATTATTGTTAATAAAAAATAAAAAAAATACAAATCTAGATATATAAAAAATATTGATTAAATCAGATGAACAAATTAGTTTCCAATTGAAGAATATAAAAATAAAAAATAAAACAGTAAAAGAGCAGTTAACTTAAAACATCGGTCAGTGACCTGTACCATCATGCATTGTTGCTAAAATATTGTCTGCGTAATGCAATGACGTACCAGTTCGGCATCTTATGGATAGTGTATGAATATCGCTGTAATGCAGCCTCGCGGAAATTCAACTCTGGAAGACTGACGGCTAAAGCCACCCCTTCCAGGCTGGCCTCGCATCCTCAGCCTCGCACAGCAAACGCCCATTTCAAACCAACCTATGCTGGTCAAGCCAGCAGCTTAAAAGTGGAGGAACTCCCACTTTACGGCCTTCTCGAAGCCTTGCAAACCACCGCCTCCCCTCCACCTTTTTTCACCCTGCCTCAAGCATGCCCCTTTCCTGCTGCCCGAATGCCACCACCAGTGCCTAGGTCCCGGGGGGGATTGTGCGCGCACTCACGCAGGAGCCTCGCTGACTAAATGCCGCACCGGGGCCTAGGGCGCCAAAGCACCTTTCAATAAAAACATTCAAAATGCATTTTGTCTTCTGAAGTCTCTCCAGATTGAAATGTGTACATAAAGAGGATGACGCATATGAGCATTATACATAACTTTCTTCACACAGCCTTTGAGAATGCAAATGCAATTTTCTGACCAGTTCTGCATTGTCAAACGTGGGAAAGTCGAAGTTCAATGTCCACAAGTTAAAACCAGGCAATGGTTAACACAAAAAAGTATAACAAGATTTAACAGGCCTGTCACTTTAAATGGGTTTATTCCTTAGTGTGAGGTAGGATTTAGGAATGTCCCGATCACTGTGTTTAGCCTCCGATCCTGAGGCGATTGTTAAAACTTCATTGATATAGTTTATTTGCTAAAAAAAGTGTTTTATAAATAGTAATATTTTAAAGGTCTGATTTTTCATTACAGCAAACTAACCATTCATATGTAATCAAGAGAACTTAGCCTCATTTTATTCTTTAAGGCAAAAGAAAGAAATAAAACACTCTTGGTTGGTACCATAATAAAGCTATTACAAAGCTATCAAATATAGCTTAACAGTGCTAAACACAGTCTGCTGTATGAGAGTTCCTCACCTGAGTCTCTGACAAATATGTATTAATCTAATGCTCCTCTTGCTCTCTGTTAACCTCATATTCAGGCTCCAGTGCCTGGAATAATATGGCGTATGTTCTCCATTACAGTAGTATACAATTTGAGTACATGATATTTTCAGTCTGAAGGTATAGGCAGATGAAGTTTGGTGGATGCGTACCCTATGGCCCACTTAAGAGTTTGTACCTCTTTCTGGATTGTCAATTTTGTCTTAATCCTTTTGGAGTGTGGCTCGGTCCAGAGAAAACCTGCATCAATCAGACGAACCTGCATTACATGAAAACGACAAGATTTTTTTTACAATTAGTTTAAGAAATAAATCTTGTGAATTTGAATAAATTAAAACAATTACCTTGTTCATGGACCCTTTAAGTTTTTTGAGACACAGTGCCAATAGCTCTCTAGACTCAAACGCACATTGCATCCATGTTCCTGGAGGCTGCAAGTACCTGCAATGGAAGCCCACAATGTTACTCAATGCCATCTCCATCAATATATTTGTAAAAAATATAGACAAACCTTTCACACTGTTTGCAGAAATGCACAGAGACTTGCTTGGGGATTCCTTCGGATATGTCTACTTGAGTTCTCAGGCAAGCAACACACATGTTGGCAGGGTTCGGAGGAATGGCAATGCCACAGGTACAGCAAAGGCTGTAAACACAATTATTCAATATCATGTGTATCATATTAAAATTCGAAGTAGCCTGTAAAACTTACATGTGTCCCTGGCTGCTGGTGGCAGGGGCTTGAATATACTCCATTGTGTGTGGTCAACAGTAAGATTGTAGAAACAACCTGTAAGGCATTCAAATTTCAAGTGCTGAAAAGCATGCGGAGTTGTTAGCTAGTGACACATGAAGCTAAACTAGCATTTAACAATGACCGTGCACGTTTGAAGGATACATACAAAAATCCATGACAAACATACAATCAAGCTGTGTTCAAGTCTTTAAAATAATGTAACCCACATGACAACAGTGCTGTAAATATTTAGTTAAAAACTCACGAAATCCTAACTCGACCCACGTTTTTTTCCACCATGACGTACGCCCTACACCCTACGTACAGAGGACCACTTAACGCAATGGCGTCGTCATTCATAGGACACCGAATATGTGCCTGAATAAAATCAAAAGAAAAAAAAAGATAAAGATAATTGTCTCTATAACTTTGGAAATTGTAGCTCAACATATGAACCAATACATTTTAAAGGCGTACAATACAACTTAGGTGTTTTATGGCATGTGACAGACGTGAATGCACCTGCGATTCATAAGATTTTGTTGATGCATTTAAGTTTCACAGGAATCTCAATATTTAATCTATAAAGTAGCTTTACGTTCCACAATGTTTTTAGACTTTTTGCAAAATAACCGTTTAGAAAATAAAACATGTAGCCTTAGCGTTAAATAGGTAACGGATAATAAATAAAACACGCTCAATACTCGAGTTAGGTTTAGTTTTCAGGTGGCGTTTTGTGAAATAACCATCAGCTCGTGAAGGTAGCGTGGTGGTTTTTCGGTCCATCGGCGCCGCGGTGGTGGTGGTCTCAGTGGCAGCTGAGAATGTGGGATATGATGCACACAGACCGCTATTTTTGGGACTGTCACGAGGAGCTGAACAAGTCTAGGTGAAAAAGTCAACAGTGACCAGTGAAGTAAAAAGCCTGTGTACTGTCGTGGCGTCCTCCTCCTGCGCAGTGTGCCCAGCCTGTGTGTACAGCAGTTCCGAGGGTCTGTGCAAAGAAAAAAAGCTGATGGATCGCGATTTCCTCCTGGCTTGAAAACCCCGTGGTGAAGATACAATGCAGTGAAGCCCTGGGCCGCACTGGACATATCACCTCTGGGGTAAATGTACTTGTTTCATCCTCACTCCCTACGCCTACAGCGATGGTCTAAAATCGCGGTGGAGGTGAACCGCTCTCAACCTGCCAAGACAATTACTTAATGATACAGGATACCATGACCCTGCTGTCTTTGTTAGGTCGGATAATGCGTTATTTTCTGCTGAGACCAGAGACTTTGTTCCTTCTGTGCATCAGCCTGGCTCTATGGAGTTACTTCTTCCACACGGACGAAGTGAAGACTATTGTAAAGTCCAGCCGGGATGCGGTTAAGATGGTCAAGGGGAAAGTGGCAGAGATGATGCAGAATGAGCGGTTTGGGGGACTGGACATCCTGGATGCTGAGTTTTCTAAGACTTGGGAGTTAAAGGGCAGCAACGTGGCTGTATATTCAATCCAAGGCCGGAGGGATCACATGGAGGACAGGTTTGAGGTCCTCTCAGACTTGGTCAACAAAAGCCATCCATCTATTTTTGGCATCTTTGATGGTCACGGGGGAGAGGTGAGAATCCACTCGGTGTGCGGGTTTCTGAGGTCTTCAAAATAATGCATAATGTTTAGCCGATTCTGCATTAAGACCATAGGCGATTTTTTGAATGCAACCTGATAAGAAAAAGTTAAAACCATTCACCTTAGAATAGCAGACATATTGCTGGTGCTGAGTTTGTACTGTTTACCAGTGCAGTTAACTTCTGCAGGTGCTGTGCTATTGAACAGAAACTCAACAATTAACTTCACAGTAACATCACAATTACAATTGTTATCCTTATAAACTATACTTAGTTATATATTTGAACATTAATCATTCTTGCATCTCGGGAGCCTAAGACAAAGACAAAATGTTGGCCCTTAAACACAATCTCTAACCTTTACTCTGGTAATTCGTGTTTTAGACCTTAAATAATGTCTCCTTTGGGAAGTGTCATGTTTGTCATTGTAATTATTGTGCTGTGATTCACCTACTTGACTTCTTTGTCCTTGAGTAGCGGCTGGGGTCTCAAAAATTGGGTCCATATGATGGTAATATATCTGAATAGGCCTGGTCTACCTTGCTTACCTTACTTGCTGAGTTTGTGAAGCCATCTTCATTTTACACTTGCTTGACTTTTGTAATGTTTCTATTAAATTGAAAATAAGGCACTACCGAATAGCTGGTTACTGCATGATTCACTTTATTCTCTTTCTTTCTATACATGTTCACCTGAATATGTTTTATATTCAGCGTTCGTTCTCTTAAACACTACAGGATTTTCGTCCAATTTCAGCCCTCCATGAGTTCGGTAGGCGTGGCCCGAGTAACAATTCTGGTTTGCGACAATGCCGCAACAGCCTTTGACTTTTAAACTCTGCGCGAGGCCACGCTGCCATACTGACAGATGTGAAACTGTAGTGCGGATGATAGAAACACATCATGTCTACTATTTGTAGATTTATGAGCAGGAGGATTAGAAACCACAACAGAGAACAATATTCACTTTAGGCATAGCAGACCCATTCAATCACCTGTTAGTCAATGTATCAAGCTGCTACAGGACAACTTCCAAATTGGATATCTGTGTGTATATGCAATGTACTGTGCACAAAAGATGACAAACTGCACTGGCAGAACTGCAAATCAACCTAATAGAACTAATGTTCAAGCAGCCTACACATACACATACCCACACACGCACGCACACACACATACACTCACACACGCACGCACTCACCTGATGCAGATCCTTACTATGTCCTCACTCCTCAAACATGATTACCCAGTCCTGAAGTCCTGTCATAATTTGTACTCCCTGTAAACCTGATGAATACCTAATTTGCAGGTGTTGATACTAAATGTAATATTGATTCCTACTGTAAAAATGAGAAGGACAAAAAAGTTAGGAGGTGTATTTGTTGAATTTTGATGCAGCTATTCAAATCTGGGAATCTGTGAGACCAAAAATTGTTTCGGATAGCACTTTGTGGTTTGTGTCACAACCTAAAATCTCAACAACAAAAAACTAGTTTGTCAGCTTTAACATATCGTTGCATGAGCTGCAGGTAGTTTACAACTTTTTGTGAGCAGTCATACCACAAAACATCAAAGTTATATGACTATTTGCACTGTTGGCACTACAGGATCAGAAAGCTGAGCATACTACTGAAGTCAGTCCTAGTTATTTGTATTTATTTCTACATACTACTAGCTGTCAGGTATATTATTAAACAAATTTACATTTTGTCCACATATAGGCTACATTTGAATATAAGCTGCAGGTTTTCAAGTTGTAATGTAATGTCACTCTTAACCAACAGATGATAGCGCAAACATGACTGGTCGCAACATGATTTTATAATAACAATTGTAAACCGCTTTGAGACTCCGATGTGCAGTGAAAAGGCGGTATATATAAATATAGATTACTTACTTACTTTATTTGTTTGAACGCACTCAAACTCTGCCAAATTCTATTACATCCCTACTAGAACCTAATGGAGGAAAATATAGCCCATAAACTTTACTCTGACAATTTATGATCACATAAAAGCAGTCCTGATAACTTTCTGCTCTTGCGTGTGTCGGCTCTCTGCTGTTCACGTGAACACACTGTAAAGCAGGAATGTCTGCCAAGTCATTAGCTTTGGAGAGCTGAGCTGTGTCCCCAGGGGAGCACACAAAACAAAACCTACATTGGCCGCATCACTGTATAAGCAGCAGTGTTCAAGAACTTGAAAAAAAAGTAGTGGCTTATAGTCAAGCAAGTAATTTCTGACTATAGATACTTTAACAACAAGATGTAAGTTGTCAAAGCTGAGATAATTATCATTCTATGTCTGTGTTTGTGACAAGATATGGTCAACAGAGGGATTTTTTTGGAAGAATTTTGCTTTTTATTATGTTCATATTTAGATTATACTGCTCAACAGCAGAAAAGAAGGCAAGGCTTTTGTCCCTTTTACCATTTCTCTACCACAGTAGTTCTCCAACTTTTTACACCAAGTACCACCTCAGAAAATACAGTGCCTTGCAAAAGTATATACCTCCCTTGGCTTTTTACCTATTTTGTTATATTACAGCCTTTAGTTCAATGTTTTTTTAAATCTGAATTTCATGTGATGGATCAGAAAACAATAGTCTAAGTTGGTGAAGTGAATTGAGAAAAATATATACATAAAACTATTTTTAAGAAATAAAAAACTGGAAATTGGCATGTGCATATGTATTCACCCCCTTTGTTATGAAGCCCATAAAAAGCTCTGGTGCAACCAATTACCTTCAGAAGTCACATCATTAGTGAAATGATGTCCACGTGTGTGCAATCTAAGTGTCACATGATCTGTCAGTACATATACACACCTTTTTTGAAAGGCCTCAGAGGCTGCAACACCTAAGCAAGAGGCACCACTAACCAAACACTGTCATGAAGACCAAGGAACTCTCCAAACAAGTAAGGGACAGTGTTGTTGAGAAGTACAAGTCAGGGTTAGGTTATAAAAAAATATCCAAATCTTTGATGATCCCCAGGAGCACCATCATATCTATCATAACCAAATGGAAAGAACATGGCACAACAGCAAACCTGCCAAGAGACGGCCGCCCACCAAAACTCACTCAGGCAAGGTCCGTGAGTTTCACATATTCTTGAGCAAAACCTGTACCACCCTGTGCGTGACTTGAGGCTAGGACGGAGGTTCACCTTCCAGCAGGACAATGACCCCAAACACACTACTAAAGCAACACTTCAGTGGTTTAAGGGGAAACATGTAAATGTGTTGGAATGGCCTAGTCAAAGCCCAGACCTCAATCCAATAGAAAATCTGTGGTCAGACTTAAATATTGCTGTTCACAAGCGCAAACCATTCAACTTGAAGGAGCTGGAGCAGTTATGCAAGGAGGAATGGGAAAACATCCCAGTGGTAAGATGTGGCAAGCTCATAGAGACTTATCCAAAGCGACTTGGTGGCAAATGGTAGCTCTACAATGTATTGACTTTTAGGGGGGTGAATAGTTATCCACATTGACCTTTTCTGTTTTTTTACCCTTTTTGTTGTTTGCATCACAACAACAAAAAGACAACATCTTCAAAGTTGTACAAATTATCACCACATGTATAGATGAAATAATAAAAAATAATTTAAATGTAGATAATGACTAACATAGAAGGAACCACAAAAATAACCAGTACCAATATCCTCAAAGATTCCAGCCTTAAAATCTCCATGACAAAGACATACTCTGCACTACATTACGGTCTCTTTTTGGTCATTCGAATCATTCATGATTTAAAATAACTTCCACTCCATATAGGGTCTTGAGCTGCGTGGACTCACTAGTTGCTTAGAGTGCACCCCCATCAACAAACCTTGAATTGTCCAGCTCAGGAAATACCATCAGATTGCAACGTCTTAGCAGTGTGTTTATGTCTGAAGGATTAGATTTTTCTAAACCGAGTCACATGTTTGGAAAATTTGTGGTGTAGTTACACTTCATTTGCATTATTATTATTATTATTATTATTATTATTATTTTGAAAGTGTACATAACGCTGAAAAATGTATCAATACTGAATATTAAATACTTAGTCTCTTGAAATTAAACTTCCATCCACACCACACAAAAAAACAGTGTGAGGAAAAGACGCAAGAAACAATGGGAGGAGAAGACCATGTTTTGGTACAAGGCAGGTGCAGTCGACTGAATTCCACTGACCTCCTGATGCTCCATCTTCAATAATAGTCTATGTGAACATGGGGCCCCAGCCTAAATATAAAACAGCTAGACTAAACATATTGTTTCTGTTTGGAATATAAACATTTCTTTGCCACGTCAGTGCATGTGTTATCGTGCTGAAGCTGGTCTGCTGCACATGTGTGCTCTGCTTTCTTCCAGAGGAATGCTGATATGAAGCTCCACTATTTGCACATGGTGCCGATTCTACAAAACGCTTCAAAAATCCACTTTGCTGTAAGAAGGGCATTGGAACAGAGACTTTTGCTTATTATTCAAACACCTACAATGCCCAGAGCATTACAAAACTTGTGTTGTCTTATCATATTAATATTTGCGGTGCCATATTCACTTTTAGAGAGAGTGTCAATATTATGTTAGTCATAGTTTTTATATTAAGTATACTATTCCAAGAAGTGTTTTACATTTGTTTGAGTCTGGGCAAACCCCCCAATATTATGTTGTGTGGATCAGAAGGGCATTTTCTTGTTCAGGGTGTAACTTTTTATATTACAAATAAAACAATGGGACCTTTGTTCTTGATCCATGTTTGCAAATGTATTAACTATTACCTAACCTTTGGTCCAGTAGGTTCCCAAGGTGGAGCTACAATCCTGGTATAATACTGGTATGTGCCAGTGTCAAGCCCAGACAAGTTTATTGTCTACCTCTGTTGGGCACATCCATTTGACTTTAATTTGGAGATCAACTAATTTTATATTATTGTAGAAGGATTGAGAGATTTCAAACGGCCAATTTCCATGGTTCTCATCCACAGTCTTCTTCAGTGGCAAATA